AAAAAAAAAAAAAAAGCCTTTTAGTTTTTTCATTTGGCAAAAACTGTGTTGGTAAGAGGAGTAGACACTCTGAAGATTCTTCTAATAAAAAGATGGTACATATAAATTTACTTTTAGTTGTGATGAGGAATTATAAAAATTAAAAAATAGATTTCTTTTCGTAGTATTTTTGATAGAAAAAGACGCAAAAGAGAAATTGAATAAGACAGTAGAAATTGTTCAGCATCAATTAGGAAAGTATGCTCCAAGGTTTTACTAATTAATAAGAAGTTAAGCCAAAGAAAAATCTCCAGCAGCTATAAGTTAATTAGAGGGACGAGCTACCACATCAAAGAATTTTAAAACTAGCATTATTGCATGGCCGCGTTAAAAGGCTTAGAGTTGGTGGTGGGAAGTAGGAGTAGGATTTTATTGTAAATGCGAAGATCAAGGGAAGTAACTCCATTTTTTTTTATACAAGTGATCTAAAATATTAGGCTTTAAACGTAATTTCAGGACACAGTTACATCTGCATTTTTTACTTAGCGGCAAGCGACATGTTTTAAAGCTTAGTTTTTGATGTTTGTGCCTTTTACATTCACCAACGAGGATTTATAAAAACCCGAGTTTCATAAATATTACAAATTCAAGAAATGACTTGTTTATATCATCACATAAGTAATATCTGAATTTAGGACCAGAAAAATACTAAAAGATTTATGTTTATTTAGAATTTATTCATTAATGTACACCATGTGTCAGAAAAGAAACAGGGCTCAAGTCACAAAAAATTAATGTCAAATTCAAACCAAGTTTTCTTCAAAATGACAATGTACTTTCCTATACTCCTCCACCACACTTCCACGCACTCTTGGAAGGATTCTCCGCAGACCTTTCATGTCCATAAAATGGTTCCCCTAGAGCATGGGGAAAAGGGAAAAGTCACACAGCCTGGTTGGATGAATAGGGAGGATGCTCCAGCACAGTTATGTTCATCAAATGGATGATACCAATAAAGTCCCACCAAACACCAAAACCTGCTTTCAGTTCTGTGTCATTGTCTGTATCATTTTACATTCTCTTAAAATATTCAGACTGAGGCTGTCCCACTAAACATCAAAACTTGCTTTTGATGGAAGTTCATTTTCAGTTCTGTTTCAGCCTATTTACCTCTACTGTATCATTTTATTTTCTCTTAAAATATTCACTTTTCATTTTGGTTTCTGTCAAAACATGAGGAACTTATTTTCTAAGTATAGGCCTCCTTCCAATTTTCTGTAGATGGCAGTGAAACATTTTAACAGCTTAAATTCTTTGATCTAATTCTTTAATAAAAAACAAACTATTTCAATAAAGTTCAAACAAAAGCAAGTAATTGTTAAATTAGGTACCTCCATGAGAGCTAGTAAAATAAATTTTCAGCACATTTTTTTTTTGTATGACAGACATTAATTTGGAAAATCTTGCAAAAATAAAAATAATTGTTGGATGTTAATGAAACTTTCAGAAACTATTCACAGATAATGTAAATTATTACAAATATGTTTTTTTTTTTTTTATTAAAGTCATGGCAGAAATATTTTTTTTTATATTTATTACCCCACCCATAACTAACTCTAGAAATTCAATCGAATACAGTTTCGTGATTACAATGAGGAATGCAAATAATGTTTTTTTTTTTTTTTTTTTTAAAAACCAGCTCTGAATTGTAACATAAAAACTCAATAAAATAAAGATATTTAATTTCAAATGCTTTTATTTGCTTTGTTTTTATGAATATGGACAATATTTTCTGAAAGCAAAAAATTTTTTTAATGAAAAATAAATTTTTAATACAATTATTTGTTATTTCTTTAATTATAATAGATTTTTACATTTAAGTTAACATATTATAAAATTAGTTAAAAGCCACATCCAATTTCATAAATGTCCTTATGAGATATATCTTTTTTTACCACATTGTAAATTATATCATTTTGACTAATCAGAAGACCTGCAGTAATTGAGAAATGTAATTTTGCATTTATAATCGGGCTGTAATTCTAAAGTACAGAAGACCAACCAGAATACAATTAAGTTGCATTATTTGAGTTAAGCATTGTTCTCTGCTGTTAAGGCCTTTACTTTTGAGAAACACATGTAGAGAAGTTAATTTGATTTTTCAATTTCAACTTAGAAGGGTACCTAAAAGTATCAGTATCATTTTATGAAATTTATATGATCTTATTTTTATATTAATCTCAGTTATGACATTTTTACATAAATGAAATATCAAAATGAATAATAAAATGAATGGAAATACAAATAACACAGTAAAATGTAATAAATGTACACAAGATTATAGTATTTTATGTACACTTCTGATAAAATTTCATAAGAAAGGTACCTATAAATTAATTAGATACCTTTCTTATGAAATTTAATCTCATTCTTAACAATCTTATTTTAATTTCTTTATAATACATTTTCTATAAATCATCGTAAATGTAAAGGTGAAAGCTAAGTACAAAAATAAAAAAATTAGAGCACTGAAAGTTTTCCTTAAAAATAATGAGGTAAATAATTTGTTCACTTATATCTAAATAATTTCACTTTCCTCCTTCCGTAGAACAAATTATCCTCACATAATCCATCAATACGTCATTCATCACCTGTCAAGTGACATGAAATGTTATGACCTGCTTTGCTTAACTACACCTTTTCAGTGCAGAAACTAAATAATGCTGGTTTCAAAATATTTTAAATAAATATTATAATTTCTGATTTTCTTAAAATAAGTTTTGAGAAAATTATAATTGATTTTTTAAAAGAATTTCAAACTGAGATTTTCATTTTTTTTTTATAAAATGGAAAAAAATGGTTGACATGATTGATTGATTATCTGTCAATTTGGCTGACTCAAAAAAAAAAAAAAACAAAAAAAAAAAACAAAACAAAAAACAAGATTTTTAACGGAAATTTTGGACATGCTAGGAATGATTAAAAAATATAAAAAAAATACCCCCAAAATACTTTGATCTTTCCTCTTAATAATAACAAACATTTAGACGATAAAATTTTGTTTTTGTCAAGTTTGGTGCCTTTTTCATCATGTTATGCTCTTTTTTTAGCGATCTCATGGAGGTACCTATGTTAAATTCAACAAAATAACTGGTCTGTGATGCTTCTTTGAAGTCAACTTTATTCGAGTTTTTAAATCTTATTTGACAATTTTATTAATTTAAAGAATCTATTCTCTAAATGCCACGAATATGCACTGTTGCCTTTTCTAATCTTATAGAGCATCATGTGCTTTGTGTGCTTCCATCTTTAGAAGAATCAAGTCAGTAAATGAGTTGAAATCCTACTGGCATGATAGAACTTACTCATTTAAGATTTTACAAATACATGCCAGCATGTGTTACCATTTAGATACTTTAAAATAAGGAAAATATCACTCAATATATCACTATTAGATTTCAGATATTACTTATGGGTTGACCTGGTACAAGAAATGAAAAGACATCATCTTTCAAAAATAAATATTATTGTACAATATATTTCCAAAGTAATTAATGCAAAATGGAATACAATTGCAATCTCTTTCTATGATTAATTACAATCCCAAACTTGTATTGGGAGCAAACTGCTTGCATACAGATAGAAAATCAATTCAGTAAATTTACAAAGATAGAAAGGGGTGTAAGACAAGGATGTGTCTTCTCACCAGACATATTCAACATATACAGTGAGGCAATTCTGAGAGAATTAGAAATCCACAAGATTTTATTATTGGTGACCACAATCTTAACAACAGAAGATATGCAGATGACAGTGTTGATAGCAGACACAAATATTAAACTACATGAACTCCTACAGAAGGTAGTGAAAGAAAGTGCAGAGAAAGGATTAAACATTAATTGCAAGAAAACAAAATATATGGGTGCCAGCAAAAGGAACAGCCTAACATGCAAATTACAAATTGGAAATAACCAAAATCAAGCAAGTACAACAATTTAAATATCTGGGAAGTGTTTTAAGAGAGGACAGAAAATACGACACTGAAATCCAAAGGTGCATTGGGATAGCAAAAGATGCTTTCCAAAAGTAAAGCAAAGTATTAAGAAACAGGAAAATTTTGTCAGAAATGAAGAAAAGATTACTGAATGGTTATGTAATTTTCAGTCCTCCTATATGGCAGTGAATGCTTAACAATCTTGTAACAGATGAAGAAAAGACTTGAGGCAACAGAAATGTGGTTCTACAGAAGGATGCTGAGAATACCATGGACTGAACAAGTGAGCAATAACAAAGTTTTAGAGAAAATAAAAGCAAAAAGGACATCGGAAAGAGAGAATTGAAATTTATAGAACGCATGAGGAAAGGCGGCTTGGAAAATTTGACACTCACTGGACATATTTAAGGCAAGAGGAAAACAGTGCATAACCTATGTAAAGAGCTTGTGTAAATAGATAGCAGAACAAGGTTTAGGAGAGATAGCAAAGAGACAAAATTTATTAAGAGCTACAAAGGACAGGAAATTGTGGCAAGTCATGATTATGAACATCTTGCAGGGATATGGCAAATAGAAGAATTACAATGCATATAAAATAGAAAGTCATTTCTAAATTATTACTATGAAAATGTTAGCGTTTTTAAAAAAGTTATTTTTACAATATGGTATCATTCACATATTAATCTTTCCTTCCAGTGAAAATATTTTTTCGTTTAATCTTTTGATGTGTTGTTGTAAAAGTGACATGTTACGAATTTAAATACCGGCAAACAAAAAATAAAGATCCTTATAAAGAACTCATAGAAAAAAAATTTGAAACAAGGAATCATTAAATCCAATAATTTTCTTTGCAATCCTCCCTGTGTATTTAAAACAGACTTTTGCAGCTGTGATCATCCCTTTATTCATAGGATTATCAGAATTTAATGAAAATTCATAACAGAAGTAGAGGTGGGTTAACGGAATGAAAATTAATGAATTAAGACTGAAATGTTGAAATCTCAATTGAAGAAATCAAGAAACTTACATTTTGTCTGCAAGGTCAATTTCAAAGCATGAAAACTGGTGGCCATCATCTTCAGATTCTGAAGGCGAAACTGCATTGTCATTATACTGAAAATCAAAAACTAAAGCTGCTCCTTTTTCTGTTACCAAATAAGGGTATCTGAAGATGGCAGTCAAGGTAATTGGCATTATAAATAGTTTTTTGAGGTTTGTGTTTTTGTCTTATTTCTCAATTGAATCAATTTACACAGAACAGCAAATGCTTTCTCCTTTATTGCAGTCACAAAACAAAGTAGGGGCCTATTGTTTATTTTCTAGTTCAGTTGTTTGATCAATCAGAACATCTGATAGAGATATCATAGCCTTTTTGAAGGGTTATTATATATAAAACTATATTGGTGTATTAACAAGTCAAGCATACAGAGTTCAAGAAGTACAGAAATAGATAAAGTTTGGTCAAACTAATCAGAATAAAACCTTTAGCCCTGTTTACGATTTTAAACACAAATTGCAACAATTAATTTCTTACTCTCCTTCAAGATTGAACTCAGAGATAAGTACAGCAAAAAAGAATATATTTTTTATAATATCTTTCTCTCTCTCTCTCTCTCTATATATATATATATATATATATAAAACCCAGTGTCTGTTGCTTCAATGCACAAAACATGTCACGCTACATTTTTGTCCATATCTAAGTGTAAACCAGATACACATTTCATATTTTGTATACATAACTTTAAAATATGTCTACTTGGAATATAATTTACATGTTACTTATCTCAATGAGGAAGACAGTAAAGACATTACAAATTGGTTTTAATGTGAATTTTTTGTCATTTAAAATTAACTTTGAATATGCCAGGACTGATGCTGCTGATAGAAATATTTAAACTGTAAATAAAGTAGCCATTATAGAAATATTAATTTAGTGATTTAAGTCAATTGTGAAAAAAACATTTGTTTACAGTAGGTATTTTTTATCTGTTGACTAATTTCAAAAGTAGATATTAAGTCAGCTTTCATTACCTGTATATAATGAAAACCTGCTTAAATGTAGGAGCATCTCATAAGACAGCTGAAGTATGGTTGACAGAAAATGACAAAATCTGATATTACTTAAAAATAACAATGTGTGTCCCCAATAGTCAAACATTGTTATATGACTAACTCTTGAAAAATTATAATTATCTCAAAATGTAAGACTTTTTTTTTTTTTTACTGGTTAACTCAAAGACAAAAAATACAAACCTTTTGTAAATAAATCATGCTAATAATAAAATAATACACATTTCATTTCAAACACAATCATCAGATAAGGGAACAATAGGTTCCTTACATTTACCTAAATTTAAAATTATCAAAAATTATCTCTTTAAAAAAAAAAAAAAAAAAAAAAACACTAACTTACCTAAGTCAAAATTCAAATAACAAATGAGAATCATTTCAGTAAGATTTGCTGTATTTAATGTAAATTTAAATCACAGTCCTTATCAACTGAAACACACTGTTGTCAAAGACAGGTTAAAACTATCTTATTATTTCGACAATTTACAAAGATGAAAGCTATTCTGAAAAAATATTCCTCCAAGTCAACAATATTTAGCTGATACCTTTAGGAAAATATGACTTATCTGAGCAGCAAATCTGCTGAGCCCAGAACAACATGTATGTATGTTCTAAATGAAAAAAAAAAACTCTTATTCCAACAAAGTTGTTGCAACATTAATGTTAATACCAAGATTGCAAAAGATAGAACTAAAATAGAAAAATAAACAAATAAAATTTAAACTTTGTATTTTTTATTTGAAATATTTTTTAATTTAAACTTGAAAATTGTTACATGGTAATAGTAAAATGCTTAGAACATTTAAATATTTCCATGAAAGAAGAAATTGTGTTAATATTTCAAAGATCATTCACATTATTCAGAGGACATAAAATTGGAAATGATTTGTCTCAATTCACTATTGATGTACTTCAAAAAAGATGTGAGTGGCTTAATGGTTAACTTAGCAGAAAATGAAATTGGTAAAGCAAGTTCAAACACCAGCTGAGACAAGTTGGTATTCACTTTATGCTAATGCCCTTGGTAAAGGCATGAATCCAATTCTCCCCACTTTACTCTTGTTTGGCAGCCAGTCAAAGAGACAGAACTGATTCCAAATCAGGCAACATGTAGAGTACAAAGAAACATGTGGCTCACCTTATTCACTGTGTCCCAGTCTGTAACCAAATTTTTAGTCTCTGGATTCAGACAGACAGGGAAGAGAGAGTGAGGTGGGCAAAGTGCACAACTTTCACATAACACTAAATTCAAATCGAGTGAAAGTCTTATGAAGCCATCTTAGTCAAAGACAAACAAAATCAATTTCTTAGTTACTTTCATCCTTTATGTATAAGACCAACTAAAATTCAAAGGATACGAGCTGTCAAATATGTCTACTCCCAACTGGACTGCCTGTAACACCAAATCAGGTTTCCATACTGATTGCATCAGACGAGGTTTGTCTTCTGGTAAAATTTTCTACAAAAACAAAGAATGAAAGATAGGCAGCAAAACAAACCATTTCTATCTGAATCTCTAAGACAAAATGTTATTATTATTATACATTAAACTTTTAGACTTTTGTTTCCTTTAAAAAAAATCCTTGTATCAAAACAACATAAGAAATTCAAATTAACTTTGTTATTTTGTTTTTATACATTTAGGCAGTACAAATGCATTTAGATAAAATCACATATCAATAACTTATATTTGAATTACTGTTTAATTGAAGTCAAAATGTGTGTGTGTGTGTGTGTGTGTGTGTGTATGCATGTATAAGGATGGATGCTGATGTCAACTGTTGGTGACAGTCTATTTCACCCTTGAATGATATTCAATCAACAAAACAACTGTTGCCACTTGGTGTTGGCATCAGTGTCCTCACTTCTCATACTGACACATGCTTTATCCCAGATATTGACTACTCTTACCCTAGAAATATAGCATACCATAAAACTGTGTGTGTGTGTGTGTGTGTGTGTGTGTATTTGGGCTGCAGTTTTTCATTTATAGAAGTTTGATTAAAAACCAACAAAAGTTCTTTGAAAAGGAAATAAAAGAAAACAAGAATAAAAACAATGCAACTGACAAGACAAAAAATAAAAACTCTTTGATAATGGCTTATGAAAGCCAAAAGTTCTCAGGCATTGAACAATTCAGATTTAAATTTTCACCAGAATTCAAGTAAATGATCTAAAATATAGAAAGAAAAAATCCTTAACAAAGAAACTTTGTTGATCTTTAACCAAACTGCCACATTTAGGCTCAACTTAAGTAAATCAATTGTCAAGTCTATTTCAAATCAACAAGCAATGTTTCAGCATAACAAAATGTTTCTTTGTTCTTGACTTGTAATAATTTGTGACACTGGCTGACAAATCTTGGTCAGAATGATTAACAAAATAAAAACAACCCAAGCAGTTTTAATTCACTATTTTTAAAGGAATATGACTGTTCAATTTTATAACTTTAAATGTTGACTTAAATAAATTTACTAATAATGTTATATGAATAAAATTTGTTACAGCTCACTCAGGCAAATCCAATTTAATTCATTGAAACTAATGAGCTTTTGTTCATCATTCTAACAAGTTGGACTAAAAAATATCTGCTCAAACAATTAAGAATAATTGCCAAAATTTCTAATGATTTTAATTTACTATTTTTCAAGGCATATAAATATTACAACTTAAAAACCTTGACTTAAATAAATTTTGTACTTTATAATGTTACATGAATAAAATTTAATGAGGTGAACTTGTCCTCATTGAATTTATAACCCAACCCATTGAAACAATCTAGCACAAAGCCTAAAAAATGTTTACTAAACAGCTGTGAATATAAACAATTTTCATTATTATAGTCAACAGTGACAATTTTTGTATGAATGAGAATTTTGTAGTACTTTTAGCATTATTCTCTCTAAAAGCCAAAAAAAAAAAAAAACAACTATATTTCATGTAGAACTAGTAACAACATAATAAATTATGATTTATTATTTCCTTTTTGAAATTATTTTTACTATAAATTAAAATATTACTTGGTGACACAAAATATCCCAAAAGCAAAATCCCTTTATTATTTAGAGTTACTTCATAAACTGAATGTCTCGTCTGCTATTTCTGAAACTTTTAGATTCATACAACTTTTCCTGACCCACCCTGCAACTTCAGTTGCAAATGAGAGAAGCTTCTAAACATTGGACAGAATTCAGTGGCTCAAGAACAGTTGTCTTTGCTGGCTTGCATTTCCTTCAAGTAACAGATAATTGTTGATTTAGAATGAAAGAAAAAAAAAAGAATTACATGACAAGATATTAAAGGAATTTGTTATCAAACCAATTCAAGTTGAAATGATATATTTATTTCTTATGAAACATTTAATTTATTAGTGCAGTGCTGATTTTACTACAGAAAAGTCTTTCATGCGATTTTATGATAAAAGTCTACTGAAAATTTAAAAAAAGAAAAAAAAAAGAGTTTTTTATTTTCTAATAGCCCCCATTACACTAAATAACATTTATAACTTACTACATTTTTGTTTGTTAAGTAAATATAAATAAACAACAGGTCATATGCCAACATATTCAAAATATTGAAATTAGCCATTAAAAAATAATTTGTACAAATTATTTCCTGTTTGAGTTAAATGTAAGATAGCAGGTTACAAAAATAGGTAAGATAAGTTGTAATACCACCAACCTCTAGAGTGGTCTATTTATTTTGAAATATTCTACAGATAAAGGGAAATAATTATGCTGGTCGTCATACACTGGCCTGTTATCAAGTAATGTGAACGCATGTATGGATACAGATTTCTCCCCAAAATTGTATTCAGCCCAAATAACAATAAGCTAGAATAGACACTGAAATAAATATACACACACACACATTTATATATATATATATATGTATGTATATGTATGTGTGTATGAAGATGGTTTCTGATGTGATTGAAAGTACTTGGGGAAAACAAAAAAATTATTTGAAAGAAAATTTTGTAATTTTTCTGAATCAATTTTAAAACTAAAATAGACATAATATGTCTAAATTATTTAATCAAACATGCTTGAAAATATATATGTGTGTGTGTGTGTGTGTGTGTGTGTGTGTTTGTGTGTTCAGCTCAATCAAATAAAATTTATTGTTGCTTTTACAGCCAGGGCCAGTGTTTTAGAAATGGTTTATTTATGCACTTGCTTTGTGTCTCTTTCTGTTTTGATATTTTTTTAATGCAGACGCTGAATAGCTTCATAATATCCTGTCTTTTACCAAATAAGAAGGTATATTGTGCCTGTAAGTTGTAGGTGGGATTTTGTCAGTATAAACATATTTTGTTGTAATACTGGTGTGATAGCTTTTGCCACTTGAGATGTAAGGGAGTGGGAAGGGGATGGGGAGTTATTGGTTTCAATATGTAGAATCTGTATTAGAAATATGTGGCGAAAGCCCCCAGACAGATTCTAAATCCCTGGTTCTGGATCAGCTGTAGTCTACTGTGATAAGATCTATGAGCAGAGCTATAGACAGTGCAACTATAAACCAGTTTCAATCCCATTACAGATCTATAGAGACGTAGTGATACAGCCCAAATTCGTCCCAGGCTCTTTAACAAGTCCAAGGATCATGTGCACTTTTTCCCAAAATACTTGTTACGGGCTTTGAAATTTATTTTATTATTAAAGATTATTCTTTGATATTTTATCTGTTGAACAATTGGGGATGTTATAATTATTAATCTTCAGTTGAGGGTCAGAGTGAAACATTCTTTTGTCGCAGAAATAAATTCACAAAATCTTCAGCTTAGAAATGTGGAAGTTCTTGTCATTGGACCATCACTCAATTTTATTAAGACAGTTTTTCATCTGTCTTTATATTAATGCCATATGCTGTGATGATAAGCAATTGATAAATCATCCACAAATAGGAATTAATCAAAGTCAGTATTAACAACTTAATATTATTTTTTAAGGTAGTTATTCTGCAGCACAGCCATCTTTTAATCATGCAGCTCTGTTCCAAGTCGGACTCTAAATCATGATCAGATGGAAAGTTCTGAATATAGTCAATCAGCCATTTGAGCCAAATTTGTATACTTATCTCTTAGGATGGCATACTTACAGTTAGTATTGTAAGCCTACATGAAAGAAACACAGATGCCATGCAGTATTTGTGTATTAAGCCTTCTTAAATAAATGATCCGAGACAAGCTATTTGGTCTGTTATTATGTTATACTCTGGTTTCATTGGAATCCTTTATGATACTTAAATATTTCTCTCTCTCTGTAAAAAAAAAAAAAAAAAAAAAAAACAACAACAACAACAACAAAGGCAAGTAGTAACCATCCTTTTTATAATTTTGCATAAGCAATTCATTAGAGAGATGGGATAGTAATTGGTTGGAATAAATCAATGGACTATGAAAATGCTTCAATCCTTTTTAAGATAAAATTGTTGAGTTCACCTGATTAGTCTTATTTGAAAAGAACTTTGGCTTGGATGGAACTAAAACCAAAGTTACAGTTGTTAGATTAGGCTATGAGTAGCAAACAGGATTACATTTGAAATTTTGAATTAACTTTATCCTCGTTAACAGTCCAGCATATTCTAAAAATCCCTCCTCAAAGTCACAAGTACTGTAAATTTAGTAGTAATGCACTTTCAAAAGTAGCCCAATCAGTCGACTCCAGAGATGTGTTATCAGCAATTCCTTTGTAAAACTAATTTGGAGATAGGGAATTGAATCCACATCTCTCTTCCAGCTGCATATTGATATAGTCAAGTTGTAAAAGCCCTTTAGCCTTGTAAAAAATTCCTTCTTGGATATTAAGCTAACACGCTGGACCCATAACCCCTCCTTTTCCTTTCAGGTGAGGCTTGTACTCTTGAACCTATCACTTTTACTCTAATGTTAAGTAATGTAACCAGTGTTTTTAAAACATGGAAGTAGAAAAGAGAAACCAAAACAAAAAAAAAAACAAAAAAAACAAACAACAACTTACAGTTGTTTCTGCTAAAACCTCAGCCATTTTATCCATTTTGACAATATCAGCTGAAGCACCAAACCTGTGGAAACCTTCAATTACAAATCCTGAAAATATAACAAAATATCTTTTGAATGCAGAAAGAATTAATCTACCAAAGAACGATTTTTAAGACTGGTTTCTTTTGTCAGATCATGAAATTCATCATTGACATATAGCAGCATATATACAAATAAAAAAGAAATTCTTTAGACAAACCTTGCACTGGTCGGGTTGCTGTTTCTTTAGCTGAACGTTTTCTTTCTTTAATATTATAACCGCCTTCTATGGAACCAAAGAGAGCAGACTTTTGTAATCTCTGAAATTCATAAGAAAATCAACATTAAACTTTATAAAAAAAAAAATTAAAAAAAAATGGTTTGGTTTGTTTTGGTTTTACGGCATATCAACCTCATTGGGTTATTTAATGCTGACAAAATTTTTATTGTTGGTAATATTTTATTTTTAAATCTATTTCTTGTAATATTTTTCTTTCAAAAATTCCATTTTTGGTAATAATTTTCTTTCAAATATGTATCGCTGGTAATATCTTTCATTTTTTCAAAAAATGTATAGCTGGTAATATACATTTTTCTTTTTCTTTTTTCCAAAATATATTGTTGGTAATATTTGTTTTTCACAAATGCATTGCTGGCAATAATTTTTTTACAAAGTATTTCTGGTATTAAAACCTATTTTTACACTTTCATAGTGTTTTGACTCCGGTTACAATTCCATTGAATCTTGATTATGTATTGTGAATTATAAATTTTTACATGTCCCAAATTTTTTTTTATTTATATGGGTGAAGTGTCCATCATTTCTATATACTTCTGACTATTAGCGTTTTGTTTCTTGTTATGTTTTGTTCTTTGAACTTCTTTTGTTTCTACATTCTTTGATTTTGCTCCCTTAGTTTTACCATTCAGTTCTTTTAATGAACTTTGTCTAGATGATGATCTTTCCCTTGTTTGTGATGGGATAGAGATTTGTCCATTTTCCTTGGTTCTTCCATAATTGTTTTGTTATATTTTTTTGTATCTTTTCATTCCCTTGAGAATGTTTCGATGTTTCTATTTCTTGGATTTTATTTTTTTCGTTTTGATTTTTTTGGGATTAATAGTTTTGTAGATGTAGAGTCATTTTTGTTTGCGGTTGATGGTATAGGGTTTGTTTTTCTATTAGGTTCTTTTAATGATCTTTATATAGATGATGTCCATTCTCTTGTTTGTGATGGGCTAAAGTTTTGTTCCTCTATGTCCATTTCTCTTGATTCTTCACTAAAAGTGGAGTTATTTTTTTTTATGTACCTTTTGATTCTCTTGAGAATAGAGGTTTCTATTTCTTGGATTTTTGTACTTTGGCTTGGAATTTTCGGATTTAATTGTTTTGTACATGTAGAGACTTTTTTGTTTGAGGTTGACGGGGCAGGTTTTTTTTGTCTATGGGCGTTCGATTTATGAGCGATATACTACATTTTAGTAGTTCTATTAAACTTTTTAATTCGTTAATAAGCGTTATCTTGGCTTCTTAATGCATTGTTTTCTTGGATGACTTTTTGCTGATTTGATATTTTAGTGATATTTGCATATGATGCTTGAAGTGAATTAGATTCAACCTGTTTCCTGGCTTCTTGGAATGAGATATTTTGCGTATATTTTCTTCTAATTATTTCCTTTTTCCAAATGTTACTCTTTGGAGTCTGCTGAATGTTTTTTTTTACAGTTTGGACATAAAGAAGGCCTTTCACAAGGTGATTCATCAGGCTCAGTTTCTGCTTCCCCACATCTTCGACAGACAGATGACCAAATTTATGACATTTATGACATCTACGGGGATTAGGAATGTATGGCTCTACCTTGGCTATTATGTACCCTATCTTTATTTCTTTTGGTAGAGTTGGTTTGTTGAATGTCAAAATATATATGTTGGTGTTTATTACTGTGTCATTTCTTTTTACTTGCATTCTTTTTACCTCTGTTACTCTTTGCTTTTTTACGATGTCATCATTTTCAATTTCTTCTGATGAACAAAGTGACAGTTCTGGGCATTTTATTACTCCTTTTGATGAATTAAGGAATTGATGGGGGTAGGCCTTAACTTTGTTCTCAATTTGCTTGATTTTTAGCAATTTCTCTGCATCTTTTTTGGATATCACTTGAATTAATAGAGTATTATATTTCTTTATTTTTTAACAGATTGTGGTTTGATCAGGTCTTTGCAACACGAAAGGAGACACTTTTGATATATCACCCTCTACTGATTCTACAACAATGAAAGTTGGAAATTGATTTTTTTCTTTTTCATTTTCGCTTTCAGAAGTCTCATATTGTCTCTTGGTTCGCTTATAAGAGATAGCCATATAATTTTAATTTTTGTATTTGCTGTCTGTGCTCCCCACCCACCTCGGAGTTCCTTCTTAAGGGATGCTATCAGGGGGGACCAATCTCATTCGCCCTAATCCGCCAGGGCTACACAGAAAGTACAGTTGTGATGAGAGTGGATACGAGCACCTGCACCCCCCCTCACCATATCTATCCAAGTATAGTATGATATAAGGTTTCATGGCCCTGTTGGACCCATTATCTATCATCCCAACTAGCTCTTGCCACGATGTGACTAGCCGATTGGAATGGATTGGGCTATTCCATCCACCCATCTAGGGATCGAAGTGACGTGTTGTGGAAACTCCTGGTCATTTTACACCAGATCAGGAGTCGCTCAGTCACCAGGACTCCACCCCCAGGCATTATGGGTTGCCACCCATGGCAAACGGGTGGCCCCAGTTAGGGTAATTTTAGTTTTTTGAAATTGGGTTTTGTGAATGTACACTTTATATACTGCAATTTGTGTTGATGGTATTATTATTACAAAAAACCCATTCTTACACTTTCCTAGTAGTCTGATTCCAGATCAAGGGAGGGGGGAAACTATTTACCCATAGCTGGGACCCTAATGGGTGCTACCACTCCAGGTCAGAGTGGACCCGGGAACAACAGCAACTAAGAGGCGGTTCCACGATCCTCAAAGCCTCCTGATCAGAGGCCTTGCTGCTGGATGCAGTTTATCGTCATACTCAGGACAAAAAAAAAAAAAGAATTGGTAAGTGACATCAATATGAATAATAACAAAAGTACTTATCCTAAAGGCTGATCCAAATTAGAATCTAAACCTTTGTTATTTTAAATTTGTAAGACAAGAGAGATTGTGTCTGGATGCAATTAATTTTATTTATGAAAACTTTTGTCCTTTGGGGAACTGTGTTCACAAAGATACACAACAAATATCAAATTTGTAAAACTTGCAAATACTACAGTAACTTATCAGCTGTTTGATCAAAGCGCCATTTATGTTTATACTAACTTAAAAGCTGCACTCTGTGTGCACTTTTAAGCCAGCCCCTAGAGAGTGCTAATTGTACCTCCAGCCCAAAACTAAAAAAACCTCTGGTCCAGCTTAGAAAACAGCAATGATAATTTTGAAGAAATACCTTTGGATTCCTCAGTTCACTCCATGGAACTTCAAAACTGCACTTTAACTCTGTTTTGGGCTATCAGTCCAATTCCAGCTAAAAACTGATTTGGGCCAAAAATTGAGTTCTTCAAATCACAAACTCTGCAGAACTTCAAAACCCCATGTCACAAAATCTCTCATTTTAACTCTGATTCCTTGGCATTTTGAAGAAATAAAATTGATTTCCTCAATTCAAAGTTTTGGCAGGATTTTAAACGGAATTTAAAACAAAAATTTTTGAATTCAAAGGTTTTGTCCTACCTTAAACTCAGTATAAATTAAAAACTTTTAAAAATCCCTAATTCTCTTCAGTTATTTTAAAATTTGAATTTTTAATTGTTCCCTCCTCAAGTGGATGCAAATTCTAATGCTGAATGTTCAAGCACTAAATGTATTGAAGATTTTCAATCCTGGGGTCATCCTGATTTCAAAATGGTATATGTCTATGTAGAGCTAGTGTAGCCCAAGTTAGATGGATTTCAGACACACAGATGGACAGACAGAATTTGCCATTTATTTATTTAGATAGAAGATTAACAATCAAAGATTACTAAGCTCCAATATTTACACTATTATACAGTAACTAAATATATCTTTAGATAAAAGGAATTTTGCTGAAAAGTTTTCAACGCAAACTACTTCTAGAAATCTGATAAACAAAGTTATTTTTTAATCCCTTCTTGTTTAGGCTGAAAACTTTTCAGCACCCCCTCATGACATTATCTAAAAAGGCTTTAGGTTATCCACCATATTTAAAAAAAAAAAAAAAAAAAAAAAAAAAGTCCAAATAAGAATTATTTCTGAAAACAGTAATGTTAAATGTATTCAACAAGTGAAGAAGTTTTCTTCTGGATGTTGTGATTGTTGTGAACAAGATACGTGACATCATGCCCCAAAATGCCCACGCATTGCATGCGTATGGTGTCACAGAGCAATTAAAAGAAAATTAATGAAGTGCACCTATACATATATAAAACTCCCACTTAACCAATAGGCTGCTTTGTCATGGTCTATAAAATGAGTGTGTCTGAAGGCTTTGGTAGTGGGGGCCAAGGGAGCTGATGAGAACACCAAGCAATGACTGCTCTGTATGAGAGACGGCTGCCTACTTCCAGTGGGTCCTTTTTTGGCAACACGGCTGATGTCATCATTAACCATCCACAGTCAACACCAAGTTTAAAAGTATTTTGAAATTGGGAAAGTTGAATCTTGATAATGACAAAAAGTATGGCTGCAAGTGCACAATCACAAACATTTGGATAATATTTACATTCATTGACTACAGATATATGGTCTCTTGTATGTAAACAAGAAAACTTAAGTAAAAAAAAAATTTTAACATGGTTCTTGTCTGTCATCCTTCATTAAAATATTAAAATTAAAGCCTAAATGAACATGTACATAAAAAAGCAGAAACATCAAAAACTTTGTTTCCTCTCAAACTTATCCAGAATTCAGATTTGTTTATGTTGCAGACATGTTTGTATTGAATCTTCACCGAGAAGAAATAAATAAATATTTACACAATTTTTTAGTTTACTGAATGATTATTTAATAATCGTTCCATTTTGTTGCCCTTAATGTTTTATTATACAGACAGGAAGAAAGATGCATTCATTGTTATGACCTCCCATTTCAAAATATTAAAACCTAGTCACAATTTAATAAGAGGAAGCATAATTCAATTAAACATTTAACTGAATCTACATTTTAAAATAATGTAAAGAAATAAAGAGAATAAATATTTTAGAAACATTTTTAGATGTTTTGTCTTCTTATTCAATTTACCTCAGAAGATTGGTGCTTTTCTACAATTTTATCCAGAAATGCCAAAGTTCTGTCCACAGATTTGAGGATACGTTTATTAGAAGAATTTATATCTGTATCACTGTCACTCAAAGCTTGGTACCAATCAGGGAACATGGCTTCCATTGATCTCATGAAACTATCAACATTAACCTTGGAAGAAAGAGAGAGAAAAAAAAAAAAAAAAAAAGACAAGACAATAAAACAGAAAAAAGTGCGTGTGTGAAATGGACTTTTGATTCTAAAAGTTACATTATCTACTTTTTATTTTTAAAAACCTTTGATCAAACCTGTTGAAATGTTACTGTAATTCACATATGAGCTGCAGCAGAAATTTCCATCCTTCTCAGTTTATTGAACAGAAATTCTTGTCAATGGCCTGAGATTAGATCGGCATTGGTAACAGTTGTTATCACGGAAAATGGGATGGACAAATTAAATTTGAGTTTTATTTCTGGCTGCTTTTGTTCATTTAGCAAAGGCATGAATCCACTTTTCCCTGCACTCTGGCCATTTAGAAAAGTGAGGTAGTGTAACAGTTACCAGCACAAAACAAGAAATCGACCAAAATGAATTTTAATTGTGGCTGCTTTTGTTCACTTGGCATAAAGACACTAAAGGCATGAATCCAGTTCTCCATGTGTACTGTCACTTTCTCAGTTACCTTGACAAAATCTCTCTGATAATTGATGGATAAGAGAGTGGTAAACCACTCTCCCATAAGTATCCTCATCAGCCCAAGAAATGTTTTGTCTTAAGAGCATGTAGAGTACAACAATTAATTAATAAAGTCTCAAACAGTAAAATTTGAAACTAGGAGTTAAATGGCAGCTTCCACAAACCCTGCTTTCAAAATACATCTCAATAGAACATCTAAGTGTTATCTATGCTATGTAATTTTTATTTACTGGAAGGGTTGACAAAACATTGGCTAATTGCCAATTGTATGAAACTTTATAAAATGGTAAATAAGGATTTCCTTATAGCTGGTTCACATATTTTAATAATTTAGTAAATGTTTATAATTTTCGGAAAAAAAATTGTTTTCACATTTATTTCATTGTAAATTAGTTAATAATAAATATTGCATTGCATTAGTTTTAACACAATTGTATTAATAAACACTCTAATAGTGTTTAATATTTTTGTAAATTCTCAAGAACAAAAACAGAAAATGTATAAATTCATTTTCATCATATGTTTAGGTTTTATTCCAATTCTAATCATCAATTTTTAAAACAATAAACACTGGCAGAGAGTGAAGGTAGTTAAAAAAGTAGTATCAAAGGAAAAAAAATGTCCTTTTGTCACTAAGTCTTATTGTGGGCATGAAAATCCATGTTTGCCAAAAATATTTTTGTTTTGTATGCAAATGGAAATTGCTGTCCTTGCTTCTCAAGTATCAAAAGAAAAAATAATTTTAGACCAATTAAAATTTTATGACTATCAATGTAATGAAAGCATTTCTTTCTTTTGACAAACAAAAACTTTGTCAGCAAATTCAGCATAAACTCGGATCAATTATACTTATTGTGAAAAGAAAAAAAGTGGGAGAAAACATGAAGAAAAATAAGGAAAGCAAACAAAAGATTGCAACAGAAAGATGTACCATTGTTTTGCCACATCGACTCCAAAGGGCAACACCATTTTTGTCATTATAACCTGATGCTACTTCAACAGCAGGATCATGGACAGAGCAGAAAATGGAGCCTTTCTGGAAATAGAGAAAAAAATAACAATTATAAAACTGTAAAGAGAAATGTTACAATTTGCACAAAGAAACATTATCAGAAATGAGAGACAGATTTTCTAAATCCATAACACTGAATTTCATGTGATTTTCTTTTTACATCAACCAGCTTAAAGAAACTCAACTGAAATAAGCTTTACTTACATCAGCCAACAAAATCTGCTAGTTTCATTATCAACAACAAGAATTAAGTGAACAAACTTTGTCTTCTTTCCAAGATTGTTGCGAACTTTATCTTATTGTGACACTAACACATCCAATGAATGCTTTAAAAAGAACTAAAATGAAAAGCATTAATAAGAATGCTATGAAATTGAGATGTGTGTGCAGAAAAAATCAATTTACCTCATAAAAGCTAGACAATGTGTGATTGCTGACACTAGTAGCAATAAAGGCAGTACACATTACTACATTATGAAACTGAGGCCAACTATTTCTATAGTATATAATGGTAAAGTTCGAGAAAATGATCTGGATTTACTGCTTTGAGGATTTGCAAATGTATGTGTTAAAACTGCTTTCGAGCCAGTCGACTGTGTGACCGGTGAACTGTTTTTTGTTCTGAGTAAGAGAACTTTTGTGTGTAGTTGAGATCACCTTTTTTCAGACAAAACTGTCATCTTGTTTGAGTTGACTTACTGTAGGAGGTAACCAAGAGAGTTAACAAGACGAAACATTTTATAACCAGGAAAATGGATGCTTTAAGTCTTTTCCATCTTTACAAGATCAGCAGCAGAGGACTAATACACAATATCCTCAGAATATTTTATTATTTCTTAGAAACTTTTATTGAGGAGATGAGAAAGAAGAAAAAAAATGAGTAACTCATTTCTAAACCAAGATGCAATATACCTGTGAGGAAGGCTGAAGAGCCTATTAAATCAAATGTTGTGATAAAAACAAGACAATAACAGCTCTAAAAATGTGGAACCATGAAAATACTTCTCAGAATCTCACATAACCATTTAATTAAGCCTTTTGAAAATTTTGGAGATTTTTGAGTTTGTGTAAAGTTTTATTGAAAGCCAACAATAATTTTTGAAGTGAAATTTTTCAGAATCAAGAAAACATGTAAAGAAAAAAAGAAAGAAAATCAAAATAATGAAAGTAAAACATTTCTAAAACTTACAGTCATAGAAGTAAATTCTGCAATTCCTTTTTTGAAATCTTCTAGAGTTTCTTGGTGTTCAATGCTGTCAAATAAAAACCAGCAACTCAAAAATTATAGCAGAAAATTCATTGTATTTTTAACTTCCAAGTCAGAAGGTTATCATGAAAATACAAGAGAAAAAGTTCAAAGTAATCTATGGAAACTATTTTTTATATGTTTTGGATGTTAACCATTTGGTTGACAAGATATCATACAAGAAAAAAAATAATAAGTAAAAGTTAAAATCCAGGTGTTGAATGAATAAAACAATTTATTGGTATCATTTTTCTTTTGAATTATTATAAAATTAACCAATTAACATCTTCACAAAATTTCCTTTTGTTAAAATAAGAAAAAAAAAAAAAAAAAAAAAAAAACATTTATTAAGATGTAGTAAGTTTTTTTCTTAGATTTCTGCTTAAATGTTGCCCCCCACCAAAAAAAAAAAAAAAAAAAAAAAAAAAGAGAAAGTGTTTTCTTTCCCTAAACACTCATCGGGTAGAAGCGATCACTGTTACTTTTCATTTAAAACATATCACACTATAGAAATAATTACATGAGAAAAAAGCCCAGATTAACTTACAAATGATTTAAAGGTATGTGCACCAATCCAGAAGTGTTTTTCACAAAATCCAAAAGTTCTCCAGAAATATGTGGTGAACTTCCTTGAAGGGGGAAAAAAAATAAACACAAACTTGAAACTAATAGACAAATATAATTTCATTTGAATTAGATGAGGATAATGAAGTTAATGCTGGAAATAAATTCTTTCTTCTACTAAATAATTCAGACCACTTCAGTTTTTTTAAAAATAAGAATGCAAAAATATTTATATTAACAAAACATTTCAAAAGTTGACATTAGAAGCATTTAGTTTTTGATTGCATTGTCGCAGCTGTTTTATCAGTATATATCTTAAAAAAATTGTCAAAATGTAGTTTTTTTTTATTTTAACAATGGGAGAAAATAACCAACATTTTTGACATATCAAGGTTTTATTTTTTTTAAAGAAAGGTCAAATGAGATTTTAAAAAATGATATGGTAGACAAGTTGATCAAATGAAGACATGACTTGAGGATAATCAATGCAATACAGTATAGCTACTCAAAATATCCAAATTAAGTTTGGAAATTATTTTTATTATAATAAATAGGCTTGGTTATTTTAGTTGCTTTAATGTGTGTCTTCTGAATAAACTATATGGGAAAATACCTACTGTAATTTGCTACTTAAATATTTTGTTTCTTTCTTTTAAAAAAATTGTGACAATTGATGAAAAGTGGACACTTTACATAGAATGCAAGCAAACAGAACAAACCACTACTAACTGTACCAAAAGTCAGTCTTCATTTAAAGATGATTTTGTGTATATGGTGGGATTATTAAGGAGTGCTTTTGGAAAACTGAATAACGGACTAGGTCAAAATTATTAGTTTCACTGAAAAGGGTTTCATTTTTCTCTTGAATTTGCCAGTGATTGCACTTCTGTATTTGTTTTGGTCTTTAGAGAATATTCTTAATGAAAAAAATTCAGTTACATGAAAAACTGTAAAAAGGCATGGAGAGCAAGTTGGTTGTTCAGAAAGATAAAAAGTTCTGGAAGGTGGAATTATAAAGTAGCTTGAAAGATGGTAAACGGTAAATACAGTGTGAAATAAAGTTAATATATAAAATTAAAAGAAAGTTTTAAATTAAGAACAATTCATTCATTCATTTAGTTAGCACATTTTGCATTGTTGTATTCACCTCCCCCCCCCCTGTTGTAATTGTGGTTCATAGTGACATAAGGCAAAATAGTGTAATGGCTGCTGGTTCTTTTTACATCAGGGATGTTGAGGTTAATTCTGTCATTGATCTCTGAGGTGCAGCTCCAACACCCAGACTGGCAACTGGTGGATGACTCGTGGCTTTCATCAGTTGGGTTGGGAAACCCTTCCAACTACCCTCAAACAAGTCAACACTGTTGACCAAGGTGTGGTTGTTGCTGTGTCTATGTGACTTCTTTGAGCCATGTTTGAGAGTTGGATGGAGGCCATGGACCAGTACAGTTCCACTTCCCAACTCAACCGAGTAAAACAGAGTTGACTGCTTCACTGCAAAGTTACTACCACTGATGGTACACACATAAGCCTATATATATATATATACATACATACATACATACATACATACTGGATGTTGGAGTAAACAGTAAACAAAAGAAAATAATGCTATGACAATACATTTTTCTACAAATTTGAAAATACATCCATAAAAATTAATCAGAATGTTTTAATGTTAATCTTTCAAATAAATGTTTTAATGTTAATAAGTGTGTTTAACTGCTAAACTGTTAATAAGAGCAAATAGAGCAATTAATTTTAATAATATTTAGAAAAGCAAAAACTTAAGTAAATAACACGTTTAAACCTGGTAAATTGCAGTGGTATAAAGTGTGCAGCCAACTTACCTCCCCTTGTATACATCATGCAAGCAGGCGTCTCTAAAGTTTTATCACCATGGCGACCAAATTCTGCTAACAGTCCGCATCGGCCAGAACCGCTCGATTCTTTTTGAATGATGAATTTCATCATTACTTTAAAAAAAGAAAAAAATGCTGCAGTTTAACTTTTACGAATTCAAAAAATACTGACACCGCTTATAAGAAAATTGTATCGTATTTTTTTTTTTTTTTTATCATTCTGGTCTAAACTAAAAACTACAAAATATTTTATTTGTTATAAAATATTTTTCCCTCAAATTTTAATTCCTTCTCTTGAATAAAGGTGAAGAGAGAATGGTTTTCAGGATCAGATATCTTAAAAGATACGATTCCCAAAAATCTGACAAGGTATGTATAATAAACAAGTTAAAAACTGGCCTTTTACATAGTTCTAGGCCCTAGGCCATATTGTAGGGAAGAAAACCTAGAAGGACCCCCCCCCCCTCTCTGGGAGGGAATAGGAGTAGAAAGAACATCACCTTGCTTTTTTTATTTACTAATAATGTTCACACTCAATACAAGGTCCATTCAAGGTAGAGGGTTACTTCATGGTGGTGGTGGTGTTGTATTAGTGTAAGAAGGGACAATAAGTGAAGTTCTTGGGGCTATGAAAGAAAGATAACATTTTAATCTAGATTTGAAGAGGTCAAGATTTAATTCGAATAAAATTTCAGAGTTCGGGTGGAGACGTTAGGAATATGGAGTTGAAAATAGATTTTAGAAGGAACCGGAAACCTAAGAAACCAAAGAAACAAGGGATAAACCTCTACTCCTGTTCAAAAGGTCGGGGAGGATTGTGAACCGAACGATAGGTCTTATCCTAATTATAGAAAAAGGTGCATACAAAAAAATAAAGACTTGAAACTAATATGTGAAATTTGTCAGAAAAAAAAAACAATATAACCAAATACAATTTTTACAAAAAAAAAGCTTGCACAAAAATTTCCTTTTTAGTAAAACCTTTTTAGTACCAAAGCAATAGAACAGATCAAAATATATAAAGGCTCTGAAATTCTATCTTCAAATAATGGGAAAAAACCTTCAGAACATAATACACAAATTTTTTAAATAATGTTGAAAATAGATGCAACCACTTAATTGAAAGACAAAAATCAGAATGACGTTTTGCTAAAATTTACTTGCATCCCTGGGACTTTTAACAATTTTTCTTCTTTAGGACACAGTTCTATTCACAGGTTTCACTTCTTTTATACAGGTTTTTTTCCCCTGCTCATTTACAGATGACAGCCAAAATAGCTTTTCTTTATGGAACCTTAATTTTATGCCTTTGGGACAAAATTTTCATGTCTCCTCATTTTCTTCAAAATTTTTGTTATCTTCTAAAATTACCACTGACCCGTCTTCTTATATATCCTTGAAGAGGCTCCAGATAGTCTTACTCTTAACTTTAAATTTATATAGGTGGTAACTGGCCTTTTGATTGGACAAAAGAGTATATATTTTTCAAATTTGAAAAAGAAATCAGTCTGCTTTGACAGAATCATTATAGGTGGTTCTTTTTTTTCTTTTTAACCAAATTTATATTTAGAAACTTTAACAGACAAATGTATAACATCAAATTTAATTTTTATTAATCACCTGGCTTCTTTTAAATAACCTTCTCTAAAAGAGTGTAAAAGACAAACCTAAACTATTGTAATATTTATTTATTTACACTTTTTTATTTTACAATTATTTTATATTGCTTACTAATATTTTTTATAAACCTTCTGTTGACAATACCTAACATGCCAAGAGTTACAATTGAAAAAAATAAATTAGCTAAAGGATCAAGTATTTTAATGAAACTTCTTTATACAACTTTACAAAGAAACATTGAAACAGAAAACTACATTCCTCAATTTATTTATGCTTGCTTGACTATCTCTTTTATTCAAAGAATCCTGTCTGCTCTTGAGTAATTTTCATGAATGTTTTTTGTTTTTTTTTGTATTTTTGAGTTCATGCTATGCACGAAAAATTCTGTATAAACTAAAACATTTTTCTATAATTTTTCCCTTTAAATAACTTTCAGCAACATTTCTAAAAAAATCCATATCTATTTTTAATGTTTATTGTTTTGAGACATTTGATCTCTGAAGCATTTTAAACTTTTATCCAACAATTATTTTATCTAATTTAAATATTTACCAACTTTAGACTAGTTTGAAAGTAAAGGTTACAATAATAAAGTACCCTGTTAAAATCAAACTCACCAACAATCGTCTGTGAGATGAGTTTGCTAACCACTACTCTACGGCAAGAGGCTATCTATATTTAGGTATAATAAATAAATGATACACATGACACAGTCAATTTTTAGTCTGTTGCTGTCATTAAACAAAGGTAAGAATTGACTAACCAAATTGACATTCTCTTCATGACCATTATTTTTTTCTTTTAAAAACCAATGCTTACAGAGAAAGGCATAACTCCAAACTTCCCTGTATTCTCTTACATTTCGTCATTGACCAGCCCAGAATTATTTATATTGAAATCTGGTATATATCATAACTGCCCCCACCAAATGAAGGTATTAAAAGTTTATGGATAAGATTTCATAAAAACTTCATGTTAAAGAAAAAGTACTTATAGTTTTATGACTTTTTATTGGTGCCTGCATTTTGGAATATTCATAAATACTAAAAAGGATTCTATTTTGATTTGTTATCTACAAGGAAATAACATACACCATACAAATTTTATTTTGGAATGATATCTACATAGTAAAACACACACATATATATATATATATATATATATATATATATAATTAAAAAATTTTCTTTTATTTATATTCTAGCAATAAACAGACATTGGCTAAAATGTCTAGAACATACAAATTTTAATTTGGAATGATATCTACGTAATAAAACATGGTGCTTCTTTGGCTTGTTATCTACAAGGAAAAGATAAGTCAAATTAGAACCTGTCTTACTCTTACTATATAGACATCATTCCAAATTAAAATTTGCATAACGTAGATATTTTCCCTTGTAGATAACAAGCCAAAGTAGTACCAACTAAAAGAGTATTGACGTGGACAACAACATAAGTCTCATGTTGTTTAAACAGTTTATGGGTCGCAGCATCACTTATCTCTACTATAAGTTTCTGTTTAACCATCAATGGCTTCCAGTTTCATCTATCCAATTTTACTCACAAAACTTGGATCAATCTGTGATAATAGTGCCAAAGGACAGTATTATCAAAAAGGCACATCCTTGATTAATCAACTATGGTGAAAAAAAAATCGAACCTGGGTTTCATAGATGGAACACTTTGGTTTATGAACTTTTATTGAAAGCAATGTGCACACGCACGTAACATGGTGTGATGGTTCGCAAGTGTGTCTCGTTCAATTACAACTGAGTAGTGAATTCAATTCTTACTGGGTGCTCCATACTTGCGGCCTTGTACCACATTAAGCTATGCTTAGTAAATTAACATCAACGAAACGTTAAAAAAGAAGTAACAAGTAAGAAAATTATGAAAAAATAATACTTCATTTTATTTTCTTAACGAAAATTATGTGCGTTAAGTATGTGGTGTTGAAATAAAAATATTAAATAGTAGTTTTTTTTTAATAATGTGCTAATTATTTTCCTAATTAGAGAAGCATAGAAGTAAACTACAATCGTACAGGCTGCTTATTAGGGGTAAGGCGGAAGAAAGGGTCAACTCGAATAATGGAGATGTAACAAAAATTCAAACAATGTCATAAAACGAAAGATTAATGGAACTTTCTCTCGTTATTTTAAAAGACATGTCTTGAAAAGGTCTGCCGAACATAGGAGTTTAGCGTTCAGCACTTTCCCCACACGAGATCCTCGACTCCTTGAATACTGGAGAGTGGAGAGAGAGAGATACTTCGGTCATCGTTTTTTTCGTTTTGTTTTTTTTGCTACACCAAATTCACGCTTTATAATTTTTTGTTGCTTTTTGAGACAAAATAATACATCCCAACACACAAAAAAAACTTTTTTTCCCCCTCGTCGTACCAATTAACCTTTGTCAACCCCCAAGCATTCATTCCAATTCAGTAGTACACAGACACTTTTAGCAATTTCTTTGCTCAACCCTAAAAAGTTCAGTTATTTTGTTGTAGCTTGGGTGTGGTGACATTTATTAGTTGCGTTAAAAATAAATTATGAACTTCACTTCATGCTTAATATGCTTAATCTTTGGACTAAATGGAATCTGAACCATGTCATGCTTTTAATAAACTAAAAAGCTTCATATTTTATAAATTAGAATAAACGTCTAAAATAAATTTGGTAGTGGCTAGATAAGGATTTCGGGCAGAATTTGTCAAATATTTTCGTACTATCCTCATGAACTAAAGATTACATTTTTTAGTTTCAACATGAAAATTCATTCAATGCGTGTATTTTCTTTCCTATATCAAATTTTTAATAAATGGGACAATCACTGATTGCTGATCATCACAAAAATGGTTATTGAGGAGATAAATGAAAAAAACGCTTCAGCATATTTAAACACACGATAAAGATAAAAGAAATAAATCCAGTACGCACCGCAAGCTAACTCATATTCAGTGTGTAACGATATGTATTGTAACGATAACGATATGTATTGTTTTTGATTTTAACATTAATTTTATTTTAGAAAAATTTTATGCCCGCGTTTTTTCAATTATTGGTTCAACAAAGTATTTAAAAAATGAACAGGCAAACATGCTTAAACTGCATTTTTAATTGTGCAATAAAACTTGTTTTACAGCTTTTCTAAAAAAAAGAGAGAAAGAAATCAAAGTGATACAGAAAGAGCTATATGTAACAAATAATATACTTACGCCTGAAGTTTAGTTGCATGTAATTTTGTTTCTAATGCATTAATTCTCGTCGATTAAAGAAAAAGTTGAAGAGAGTGATCTGCCCTTAGTTTTAGCTTCTCTCAATACTAACGGCACTGGCGCCATTGTCTGTCCTTAAACATGGCTACCTGTAAAGCACTCATTAAACTTGGAAGTAATCTTTTACAACAAACTCCAATTTTTCACACTTCGGTGCGATACCGACTTGTTAAAAAAAATGAAAAATTAGCCAGCAAGAGCATGAACTGGTCCAAACCTCTTTTTGATGAACTGAGGAAGGATGAGAAAAAAGAGGAATCCAAGCCCCCGGCTCTCCTTCATTTAGTGACCCGAGTGAAAACTTTGAAGGGCAGACCCTACTGGGAAAAAGACACTATGAAAAGGCTCGGTTTGCACACTCGCAAAAACGTACAAATGGTCCACAAAAATTCCCCCTCGGTCAATGAAATGCTTAAATCAGTTAAGCATCTGGTGAAAATTGTACCCATTACTTTTCCAAATGGTCTTCCAGAAAATGAAAGTGACTATGAACACTGCCTGCTTCGAGACAACGGTGAATTTGTTATTCGAAAGAAAATTCTACCAGGGAATATGGAGGTTGTATCTGCACCCAAATTAGGAAAAGATGTGCTCTGGAAAATGGACCCTGAAACCTTGGACAGGCACCTTATCCTTCAGTTGCGCCACAGACGTCTGAATTCAGAATACTTCCCGGCCAAATATGTTTATAAATACAACCAAGATGGAAAAGAATACAGATATAAAGGACAAAACACAGACGATGATTGGTATTAATTAATTCAACATAAATTCTGTCTAATTATAAAATTTCCGGCTGTGTTGACGTTTTTTATTTATTTTTTTTTTTTTTAAATGCAGATATTTTTTCTTAGTCTTTTGTTGGATTTACCTCCAAAAATTCGCTATGAAAAAATGCACAACAAAAATAAAACATAAAAAAATTATCGTCAAAATATTTGTATTAAAAACTAAAAGAAATTAAAAGATTTTTTATGCAAAAATTATTATTTTTTAAAAATCGTTTTTAAAATCTGCACTGAATCGTAAAATAAAAAATAAGTAATTAGAAAAGTTTTTAATTGATTTCATGAATAAAATATGGACACTATTGTCTTAAAAATATTTTTCGATGAATAATAATTACAAGAATATTTTTGAAAAATTTATAAACTTAAAATTCTGTATTAATTTGTAGCAGATTGTTATTAAATTAAAACTGTATTTTTTTTTTTTACTAATCATAAATGGAAAAGTTCAATTCAACAACACCCCAGTATTTTAAAAAGAATTTAATTTTTTTTTATGTGTAAATACGGACATTCATAATCCAGATGAGAAAATAATTGGTAATTTTTTAAGGTAAAAAATTACCAATGTATAAGACCTACATTTTTTTTTCTTTTACTAATTATATCTATATTTATTTCAAGACATTTTTAGGTGGGTACCTCCACTTTTTTCGGCAAAATTTTCGATACCTAACTTTAAAATAAATTTTAAAAAATGAAAAAACATGCTTGAAGATTTCATTTTAGCTTTAATTGAAAATTTAATCGTTAAATTTATTATTTCCATTAAGGAAACAATTCTGGTGTATTTCAGATAGAAACTATATACATTGGAATATCAAATTTAATTTTGGAATTTTAAATTTTCTTAATTCCCGCCATTTTCTTAATTTTAAGAAATTTGTAAACAAACACAAATTTATCGATTTTAAAAATATTTAAAAAAGTTTCTGACACGTTATTTTAGTAAAATTAGAAAATTTAATGTTAAATTAATCTGATTTAAAAGAAATATTACTTACTTCTAGCATAAAAAAGTAATGTACAACCAATTATTAACGATTGGTACTGTTATTTTTATCCAATATTTGATCTACGTGTTGATTGACGAGTGATGACAGCTACTACGGATGACCATAAATGAAAATTATTAGAAATCTGAGTGAACGCTTTTTTTTTAGTTTTACTGAAAGGGACAAAATTCTTTTTATAATAATGGCAATTTCAGTCTACTGTACATGGAAATAAGGAACGTATTAAGTAAAAAAATACAACATAAAAAATTATTTGAAAAAAAATTAGCACAACTAAGTTTATTAAACTTTGCAATTTTGAACTCGTAAATTTTGTTTCTACTTAATTACTAATTACCACAAAGAAATAGCCTAATACAGAATTTTGCACGATTTTTAAACTATTATAAATTATTATAATTAAAATGTAAAACAAATGAAAAAATTCTTGTAAAATTTAATTATTCATCAGAAAAAATTTATTTCTTCAGGCAATAATGACCTTAATATTACTTATGTACAAAAGCAATTAAAAACTTTTCTAATTAAGTAATATCATAGATTTATTGGATTCATTATTTTTCAATTCAGAGCAGATTTTTAGTTAGTGTAAATTTGAAAAAAAAAAGTAGGTGATTTACCATCTCTAATGACTTACTTTAAACAAAAAAAAAAGTTTTCAGGAAATAAAAAGGTTTTGAACGAAATTTCAGGACAATAAGTGGGGTGTAACATATTTAAAAAAAAATATTTTTTACCAAAATTTTCTAGAAAAATATTTAAAAAATAATTTAATTCATTTGTGAATAAGTCCTGAAAATTTCATTAAAATCGGACAATTACTTGATTTTTACAAGAATTTCCAAATCAATGTGTTTTTCAACGGAAAAAAAGCGCAAAAAAAACAATGTTATTTTAACAGCGCCCGCGAATGACGTAAACAAAAAAAGAAGACTTTAACCAAAATTTCGAACGTGTTAGAAAATATTAAAAATTTCAAAAATAATTAAAAAATACTTTGGTCTTTCACCTTAATAATAACATAAGCATTTTGACGATAAAACTTGATTTTCGTTAAGTTTGTGGCATTTTTCATTACGCTATGCCGTTTTCCCGCGAAAAAGTGGAGGTGCCTACCTCTATAGTTGTCAGCTGGTAGACCAAATCTGGGTAGTTTCAATAGAAGAGAATCATAGAATTTTTCTTACATTTGTTTACTTATCTTTATTTTATAGCATTTTTACCTTCATAGGAGATATCGCAACTTATAATAAATTAAAAACTTAATAGAATATAATCTATTGGCCGTCCCCTATTGCACACCTCCTGAAATATATGCACTTGAGTCAACCCTACATATAGAACTCCCTCCATTGCTTTTCTTCTCATTTTATCTACCTTGATTTTTATTACGATTATGTAATGGGAAGTTGGGGTTGGGTGAAGAGAGAAAAGGTGTCATTTTAAGCAGTAACAACATCTCAACTCCTGACTCCTCATAATCAAAGCCCTACTTGGTTCACATTTGTCTCTTGTCTTTTGAGCAGGTGTAATTTTATTTCTTGTGTCCTGTTTAGGATTGAATTTAGTTCCTTTTAAATTCTACATTAACTCTATACTTCTAACATCTCCACTCTAAAACTAAAACTCTGAAATTTTATTTACTATTTTTTTTTTTTTTGCTCAATAAGAGTTGATAGGTTTGCTTATCATTTGGTACACACTCCTCCAAGGTCTTTTGAACAGGTATAGAAGTTTATCTCTTTCTTGTGAGATTTGGGTTTCTGGTTCCTTCTAAAGTCTTTTTCATTCTCTTTCACTTCCAGTAGCTCCTTGCATCTTAGTGGCATTATCACCTTGTTTGTGGTCTTTTTTCCAACAGTAGGCAGCTATCTTTATTTCTGCAATTACAAGAAGAGGTTAGATTTGTATCACAAAAGTGAATAGTAATTTTCTATTAGTTAATTATGTTTTTGTTATTGCAACAATAGCTCATTTTAGTCATGCTCCTATAGAAGATCTGTAGATTACTAGTGGCAGGGAAATATTTATGAAGAAGCATATTCCTATTTTCATCTTCATAGCTTTGTTGTATTGGGGTTTTAACCAAATTATCTTGTAATGCTTTTTGAAATCTTAATAGTATATCTTTTCATAGCACAATTTCATATTGTACCTTCGCATGGTCAAAAATGCTTCTATTGATAGAATTTGTATACAGTCTATTTTGCACGGACTTTGTGAGCTGTTTGAATGTGGCTAGTGGGTGATTTGATATGTTATAAACAAGGATAATATTTTTTTTCAGTGTAGACAGTGCACACCTTTATGAAAATCAAATAGAAGTCCTCCTCTTCAAATTATTCTTAATTTCAATGTCTTTATTGAGTTTATCCTTACAACTGCCATTGCAACCCTTTTGGGCATCTTCACAATATAAAACTTAAATCTCTGTTATCAACTATTTCTATTAATTTTGATAATAGATACCAACCATTTCATAAATACATTCCATTGAAAAGCCTCCTAGTAATATCAAATCTACTATAATTACCACACATCTTTATTGTAGAACAACACTGACATTTAACAGATGATTTTCTTCTGCCATCATTTATCTTTATGCTTTGTTTGGCATATATCTATGGATATCTATAAATCTATGGATTTATTGAATATTTCTTTACTGATGGAAGAAATCTTTGATATCAAACTGTGCCTGGCAGCTTTGGTGGTTTTCCATTGATTGGTTTTGTGCACTTCAAATAAAACACCACATTCATTTTCTTTTTACTGATTTTTTTCTTAAAAGACTTTTGCCAGGGTTTAAGTGTCTCACTTTAAAAAAAATATCCTTGTGGTATTTTAGTGTTAATGCAGATAGTTTTGACACACTAAGCACAGTTGTCCATTTTAAGCTGAGCAGTTATGTTTTTGACTATAATTTTATGTTCTACAACACTTGGCAACTTTCTGTATAGTTTAATAACCTCCTTATTAATGAGTTTATTGTAGTTTTATGGATTCATATCTCCTTTTAATATTTGTCAACTGGGATAAATAGTTTCAAGATTTTTCTCCCTTTCATCTCTCTTTCTTTATGTGTGTGTGTATATATATATATATATATATATAGGCAGCATATTTTCATTCAAGCATGTTTCATTAAATAATAT